AGTATTTCTCTTTGTCGTTGACTTTTGCTAGTTTCACTACTATATGCCTTGGGGTTGGTCTTCTTGCATTAATAAAGTTTGGAGATCTATTGGCTTCTGTCACATGAAGTTCCATCTCTCTTCCCAAGTTTGGAAAGTTCTCAGCTATTATTTCTTTGAACAGGCCTTCTGCCCCTTCTCCTTCTCTTCTGCCTCTGGTATACCTATAATCCTTATGTTGCATCTCCTAATTGAGTCAGATAATTCTCGGAGAGTTTCTTCATTTCTTTTTAGTCTCAGTTCTCTCTCCTCCTCTGTCTGCAGCATTTCTATATTCCTATCCTCCAAATTGCTAATTCTGTCCTCCATATTATTGACCCTACTGTTCAGAGAGTCCAGATTTTTCTTAATCTCCTCCATTGTGTTCTTCATCTCCAGTATTTCTAATTGGTTCTTCTTTATAGTGTCAAGCTCTTTTGTGACATAGCTCCTGAACTCATTGAGTTGTCTATCTGAATTCTCTTTTAACTCCTTGAGTTTTTTTAATAATGGCAGTTTTGAAATCATCATCATTTAGGTTATAGATTTCATTGTCTTTGGGATTGTTTTCTGGGTGCTTATCATTTTCCTTCTGTTCTGTAGATTTAATATATTTTTTCATACTGCTTGATGGCATGGATTTGTGCCTCCACATAGAGATAGAGTTTAGTCGCTGCTTCCACTTGTTGCGACTGGTGTGTGGGGGGGCAGCTGTTTAGACTGCACAACCCGGAACCCTGTCAGCTGTTACTGACTGGATCTGGACCCCCTCCTCGTAGTCACAGTGGTCCTGTGGGGTCCCTCATTGGTTGTGGGGGCAATTGCAAGGGCGCCCTGAGGCTGCTGGTGCCTACTGTTGCAGCCCACTTAGACGCGCGCCCTCCTTGTGGTCTGCAGTGGTGTTGTGGGCTTTCCTAGCAGCCAGGAGCAGGATCACCTATAATCACTGCTTTGTCCCTAACAGAGCTCACAAGATCACACTTCTCCACTATAGGTCCCAGCAGAGCTATGGGTATCTTCTGCAGTCTGTTGTTAGCTCATGGAGCTGTGCTACTTTTGCCCCAGGGCCTTCCCGCCTTGCGATTGCCAGTCAGGACCTCTCCACTAGTGCTGTGCAGAGGCTTTCGCTGAGGCTGCTGTAGGAACCTGGAGTTTCCCCCTGGGCTATGTAGCTGTTTCACCAGAGCTCCACTCTGCCCTCCTCCACTCTCATGGGATCTCTGGGAGCCCCTTGCCTTGTCTGGGACACGACCAGAGTCTGTGGGCCTGGCGTTGGCTGGTAAGCTGCTGCCTTGTGGGGAGTTCTGCTCTAGGGAGCTTCCTGGTGTTCTGAATGCTGGGCGGGGCCTCCCTGCCAATGGCGAGCCGAGGCCCTCCCTGCTGGGGAGGTGCGGGACCCTGGAGCATCCCCCCAGGCCACAGAGCCAGGTGTTGGAGCTCCACCCAGTCCCCAAGCATGTCCATGGGAAGTCCGGGCACCCCCTACACTGACCCATGCAGGGCTGGAGACTGTGGGCCCAGTCACAGCTGGCGGTCTGGTGCTGTGCCAGGGAATCCACTTGCCGGGAGCTTCACTCTGTTTTGGTTTCTGGGCAGCGCCTCCCTGCTAATGGCGTGCAGAGGCTTTCCCTGCCGGGGGGGTGCGGAACCCTGGAGCCTCCCCCCGGGCCACAGAGCCGGGCGCTGGAGCTCCAACAGTGTCCCCAAGCACGTCCACAGGAAGTCCGGGTGCCCCCTGCACCGACCCGTGCGCTGGAGACTATGAGCCCAGCAGCAGCAGGTGGTCTGGTGCCATGCCGGGGAATCCACTCCCTGGGAGCTTTCTTTTATTCTGGTTTCTGGGCAGGGCCTCCCTGCTAATGGCGAGCAGAGGCCTTCCCTGCTGGTGGGTGCAGGACCCTGGGGATTCCCCCTGGGCTTAGGTGTAATCACAGGGGGCTTGGGTAGGGCTGTTGTCACCTGTTTCCACTGTCGCTCCGCTGGTGAGTGCACACTCCCACCCTTGGTGTGTGGTGATGCTATCAGGGAGTCCACTGGAAGAGAGCCTCCTGCAGGAACTAGGCTGTCCGGGGGTCGGGGGTCAGGGGTCGGAGAGTTTTCACCTATTTCCACCTCCTCCCGGGGGGAAGTCCGTCTGGTTTCCGATGTATAGTAGCACGAGTCTCTTAGGCGTCTTGAGATGCTATCTGGATATCCTTTGTTAATTGGTGAATGTCCAATTAGTTGTAGATTCGATGGGGGAGAGACAAAGAAGACCACTCACTCTGCCATCTTGGTCCCGCCTACCTGGAATTTGTACTTTTTAATTAAGAGTAGCTGAGTGTTTGAACGCCATGAAGCAGTGCTATGGTTGTGCCATTTAAAAAAGATAAATATGTTTTATGAGAAACAACACTGGTTTGTCATTCAAGAACCATAATATTCTGCAAATATGTTTAGCACTGGTGAAACTCTTTTTAGATTACTGTTGTCATGCTTATGTTGGCCTATGAAAAAAACAAATAAACTGAAAAAATCTTAGAGAAAAATTACTAAGATGATTAGAAAGATAAAGTTGGAAGTAAATTAGCTTGTGAATACTGGAAAAGTGGAAAGGATATGATTGACTATTTGGTTATTATAAATGACCCCTAAATTATGACATAATTGACTTCTGGTTGACTGAAAATTGAATGAATTTTGTACTGAAGATCTCTCATTTCTGGATAAGCACTCTCTGTTGCTTCAAGGATCTTCACACTATGTTTACAACTAGGATAATTTTGTTGCTGATTCAGTGTGCACTAACACCTCTGACCCTGGGGACAGATTCTATGGCAAAAACTGGAAAAGGACATGACAATTTTGAGGAATTGAAAGGAATGTCATTATGGGTGGATGGCAAAAAATGAGGTAGTGAGTTATAAGAGATGAATTTGGAGATTTAAGCAGTGGCTGGATCATGTAATGTTTGCAGGCCAAGTTAAGGATTTTGGCTCTTATCCTAAGAGCAGTGGGGAGTCAGTCATTTAAGGGATATGAGTAGGGGAATAACACAATCATATCTGTGGGTTAAAGAAGATTATGGTGGTTACAGATAGGAAGATCAAGAGTAGACATGAGAAGACCAGTTAGGAGTCCAAGTGAGAAATGATGGTTGCTTGCTTGGTTAGGGCCAGTGGAGATGGAAAAAAGCAAATTTGAGAAATGTTTAGGAAAATTGAGAACTTGGTGGTAGTTTAGCTCTGGTGGGTGATGGAGAGGTGAAGTTAAGGATAACATCTAAGTTCCCAGATTGTTATGAAGTCACCAAGATGGAGAACTCGGAAGGGGAGATTGGGTGCTTGATTTCAGAGATGCTGAGGTTGAGGTGTCACTGACAATCCAAGAGGAGAAGTCAATCAAGTGGTCTAATCCATATGCCTACAGCAAAGGTGAGAAGTCTGGTCTGTAGATAACACATTGGTAGCCACAGGTGTTTGGATATTTATTGAAGCCATGGATGGAATAAGATTGTCTCAGGAGAGAACAGAGAGTGAACAAACAAGAGGCTTAGGACCTATTGATGTTAATATTTACAGGTCTGGTGGGGTAGGATGACTTGGCAAATGGGATGGAGAAGGTACATCCAGAAAGGTTAGTAGAAAAATTAGAAGAGCTGAGGTCACCAAAGCCAAGGAAAGAAGTGTTTCAGAAAGCCAAGAGCGGTCCAGTATCGCTTTGCTATTGAGGTATCTGAGAAGCAAAAGATGAAAACCAAGTATTTTTGTTATTTACCCCTCACATAGCAGTCAGGGGGCTACTGGTTTCTCACAGTCACTGTTACTCTTAGATGGGAGGGTTTATCTCTTGTGACATTGCTACTGGGAGCGCAGTCCCGGCCATTCTTTCGTTTTCTGCTTCAGAGCCGTAGTAGCAGTACATGCCAGGGGAATAACATAGGAAGTCATAACTGTGGGCAAGGGTAAACTATTGGCAATGAAATAACTATATATTTATTGAATAGATATATTCAGGTAACCTCAGATAAATATAAAAATGATTTAAAATAGTTTCTTCAGTCTGGGTATAATTATTCCCTTTACTTTTAATTTATTATTCTTTTTCCTGCATTTCTAGGGAGTTTATACTCTCTCTCTCTCTTGATTCTGAGTTTATTATTAAACTATTCAAGATTATCTTTTTTCTTTTTAATTCAGACTTTTCGTTAATTGCATTGGAATAGAACTTAAGGGAGAGAGCTATGGAATCTGGGTTTATATCCACCTTTGTTCTTATTTAATCATGTACTCTTAGACAGTCTCTTAGAGAATGTTTCACTGTGCTGAGCTTGAGTAGCTCAGCAGATGATCTCAGTGGAAATGTCAAGCAGATGGTTAGGTAGAGGTATCAACAGGGGAGAGAGCTTTCCCTTGCTAGTTTCATGGAGCTTTTTATATGCAACTTGTTGAAGGCATAAGGCAGTGACCAACCATGGTTGGCCTGGGGCCCAGAGGTGGAGGCAAGAGGGAGCACCTGCCTGAGCTGCAGAATGGAGAGGAAATTAATAGCTGACAGGTACCTCTGAGCTTCACCAACATTAAGCCATTTGGTCCTGAGAACATCAGGCAGCGCCGGTAACCCTCCAGTTCCTTCATTTCTACCGTACTCTCACTTAAGCTTCCTTTCTACGAGGTAGGTGATCTGATAAGTCGGTTCATGCTAAGGTGTTATTAGGCAGCCTCATTAGTAACATTAGCTGCAGTTTAACAGAGTATTCCCAGACGTGAAGAGATAGCCCAAGAGAGTGACTCTAGTTGAAGGAATTTTGAGCATCACCTTAGGGCGGTGGAGGGGAGAGTTGGGGCTTCTTCTCATTATCTATCTACACAGTCAGTCTCAAATGTATGTATGGTTTCTAAAGTTTTGAATGATAGGGAAAACAGTGAAGGCCGATTTTTGTCTCATGAGTTAATCTTCAGTCTGTTATGTGCTTTGTTATGATTTTGTTTTGTTTTATTTAGCAACTCACGAACCACATTCGAGATACCCTGCCAAACTTCAGGAACAAACTACAGGGACAGTTGCTCTCCATAGAACATGAAGTGGAAGCCTATAAAAACTTCAAGCCGGAAGACCCCACCAGGAAGACCAAGGCACTGCTACAGTGAGTGCGCTTGCCCTTCCCTGGTCCGCGTTTTCACTGCTGTCTTCAGCTTGCTTTTGCCTTGGTCTATTTGTCATGCTACTTTCTAGGTTTAACAGAAGAAACAAGTAAAGTATATGACGCTATGTATATGTTATCCAGTGAGCCTTGAATCTTTATGTTTTCTGCAAGCATAATTCTTGGTCTTATTCTCTTATAAGTTTAACCAACTGCCCATCCCCGTTCCCAATTTCATTATGTTTTTATAATTGGATTCAATAAATGAGTGAAACCAGTAGTGATAACTCAGTAGGGTTTTTTGCCCTTAGTCTTCGGAAGTGGGCAGAGCTCCTGTTGAAAATATCATCTGTATTGTATAACTGTTTCTATTGATGTCACTTATACTTACTATGTTTTTATTTCCATCATTTCATGTGATCTGTGTGCATTTTTCAGAGGAATGAGGACCAAAGATTTAATGAAAAAGTACAGACGATAAGGCCACATTTAAATTCCTTTTTCCTTTTTGGTCATGATTTTAATTTAGTCCTTTAAAATAGTAAATGTTAAAACTGCCAAGTATCTTGTTACTCTTCCTGATCTTCCCATCTTATCTTTGGGTTACTAGGTATATCCCTGAAGGGTCTTGGGTTGGGATAGCAGAGTTGTTAGAGATTACCAGCCCCTTGTGTCTTATACATTTATTCCCCCTTTTGCCCCTTCCAGCCTCGTCTGTCCTTTTATCCCTGTGCTGCAACTTGCCTCAGGTCCCTCTCACCCAGAAGAACCCGCTGCCCAGCCTTCATTCCAGGACATCCGAAGTCATCTCCACAGATGATGCTTGCGACCTCTTATGGCCCCTTTATCCCTCTGCAGTCTTGCAATCGAAATACCCTTAATTTTGCATTTAAAATGCCCAATATAATTTCTTTCTTTGTGGGGAGATTTCTAAATGCTCAAATTATATAAGCAACATCTTAAATGCATCATCTTATATTTCTCCATTTAGAAAAATTAGAAGATCATTTTTTCTTGGATTCAGCTCTTTCCTGGTTTATCTTTTCTTTTTATTCTTAGCTTTGGTTAAGCCCCTATAAAGACTGTTGAAGTTACGGAGAAAGGAAAACTATTTCTGTTTAGGCCCTAGGTCATCATCTTAACATTCAGCTGAAACTATTCTCTTTGCAAAGACTGGATCTTGCCTCTGTGACTCCATTAGACTCAGATTACAGAATTTTCCATAGCTAGATTCTTCCCTTGTAAGGGGGCTGATTCAGCTCCTTCCTCCGTTCTTCCTTCCTTTCTTCTTTCCTTCCTCCCTTTCTGCCTGCCTTCCTTCTCATCTTCTTATCTCTTTGTGTCTGGGATCTGGCTCTGTGCTATCTACTGGGGATTCAACAATGAATCAGATTTTTGCCCTCAAGAAGAGGCCACAGTTAGAGCAGGGGAAACAGATATATAAGCAGTCATATAACTAACTGCATTAAGATCTGATAAGTGCTGTTTCTGGTAAGGATAAAATGTTAAGGGAGCCCAGATAAGAAAGCAGTTACATCGAGGAGGGGTGTGAATTCACAGAGAAAAAGATACTTGAATGAGACCCTGAAATGTGGGGAGGTTTGTCACGTGGAATGAGGAGAGCAAGAGAATAGTGTGAACTCAGCTGCAGCTTGTTCTAGTGGGCCAGATGTGGGGAAAGGAGGGGCTGGAGGTAAATTTCCCAGGGTTTCAGTGCAAATGTTGCATATATACCTTTCCAGGTATTTAAAAAATTGAGATTAACATTAGCATATACATAAACATAGCTATAGCCAATTATATTCTAGATTTTCTGGGCTAAATAATTTGCAGTTGCTTTTAATCACCCATGATTTTGATGAAAGAAAATAAGAGATGCATGTTTTAGATGGTTTGAATTTTTTTCCAATTAGATTTTGAATTTGAAAGTAGTTTCAATATGTCAAAATTAGTTTCTAAACCTAGTAATCACAAATGCAAATAGTTATTTTCTCCCGAAAATGTATTTCTTTGTTTTTTTACCAACCACCTTAAGGTCTTTCATTCCTTCATTGAATTTATTGAGTAACTCATTTGTTGAGCAGGGGAGATAAATAAAGTGCATGGTCCTTGCCCTTAGGAGAGAGGCTGATAGAGGAACAATGGCATTAATTCTCCTAAGTGCTATGCTGAAAATATGCTGAGGACACAGAGGAAGGGCCCTTCATCTGGGGGCAATGAGGAGTGGTGGTGGATATGGATCATGGAATATTTCCTGGGAAAACTAAGGCTTGCGCTGAGTCTTAGTGGGTGGATAAAAATTAGCCAGGCAAAGAGGCAAGGGGCAGAGAGAATGGTACTTTGAGGAGAAAGGAAAACAAATATAAAAGCACAGAGACGTGGTATGTGTGGGGAACTGCGAGCAGCTTCTTCGTGCTGGCTTGGAGGGTGAGTGTGGATGAGTGGTAGGAGACGGGTCATCCAGGGCCAGACCATGGGGACTCCTGGATGATGGGTTATGGAGTTTTAATTTCATTATCAAATTGCGAAGCGTCATTGAAAAACGAGGCAAGAGCTACTTGCAGAAGAGCATGAGGCTCACAAATTTGCGTTGTTCTGGCATGGTGAGGTCTGTGACGCTAGGGGTGGGAAAGGGAGTAGCTCACGAAGTATGAGGGGCCTCAGCTGGAGCAGTTGGAACAGTAGGTGAGTGTGAGGTCATAGCAGCTGTGGGTCATTGGACCCACATTTAATGCATTTAATGACACAGATATTTAAAGTATATATTTTAATTAAATGTCTAAAGTAAATCTTAATAATGTGTATTTCATATAATTACATTTTGAGTGCTGAAGAGAGTGCAATGCTAACTCTGCCAGTAGGGGCCACTAAGAACACCAGGAAAAGGACTCCGAGGGCTAACCACAGTACATTAAAATGAGAATGCAAAGCCTGGTAACTTTAACTTGAATGTATTTCTCTTTCACAATTCTAGGATGGTTCAGCAATTTGCTGTGGACTTTGAGAAGAGAATCGAAGGGTCAGGGGATCAGGTCGATACCCTGGAGCTCTCAGGGGGTGCTAAGATCAATCGTATCTTCCATGAACGCTTTCCTTTTGAGATAGTAAAGGTTTGTACCAAAGGTTATTTTTTTCCCTTTCATTTCACTTCATTTCTATAGTCTGGTCTACAAAACTGTTCATAAAATGGTGCAGGGCTAAGATAGTTCCTTGAACAAAAGCCTCCGTGCTCAGGTAATGAAATTTAGAAGTGTTTTCTTACTGATGGTTCTGATTGTATTTAATGGGATCTAATGACATTTCAAATTATTTCAACAAATACTAATTGAGTTTTTATGATGTTCGTTGTCTAATTAGTTTAAAAATATTTCTTGAGCTCCTACTCTTTGCCAAAGTTCCAGGTGCCAGTGATCAATGCAGAGACACTGTCTAGTGGGGAAAGATGGAAAATTAACAAGTAGACAAAGTAAGACAATCTCAAGTGTTATTACGTAACATAATGTGAGAGAGATAGAGAGAGAGAGAGAGAGAGAGAGAGAGAGAGAGGGAGGGAGAGAGGGAGAGAGGGGAGAGGAGAGGAGGAGCGAAGGAGAGAGGTTGGGTGGCCACTTTTGATGGGATGTTCAGGTGAGGGCTCTCGGAGTGGGGGGCCTTTAAAGCATGACCAGAATGCATGAAGAGATCAGCTGTAAGGATCTGGGGGAAGAGGGTCATTCAATAGGCAGAAGCAGCCAAGGCCAAGGCCCTGCAGCAAGCACCTGGACAGCAGGTGAAGCACAGCTGAGGCCGGTGCAGAGCTGATGAGGGGGGAGGGGTATGCGATGAATTCAGAGGAAGTAAGTGCCCAGTTTTCCGAGTTGCAGTGAAGTGTTTGGTTTTTTTTTAAAGATTGGCACCTAAGCTAACAACTGTCGCCAATCTTTTTTTTTTCCTGCTTTTTCTCCCCAAATCCCCCCAGTACATAGTTGTATATTTTTTAGTTGTGGGTCCTTCTAGTTGTGACATGTGGGATGCCACCTCAACGTGGCCTGATGAGTGGTGCCATGTCTGTGCCCAGGATCCAAACCTGTGAAACCCTGGGCCGTCGCAGTGGAGCACTCAAACTTAACCGCTCGGCCAGGGGGCCGGCCCCTGAAGTGTTTACGTTTAACAATGGGAAGTAAGGGGAGGGCTTTAAGGAAAGACGTGAGTTAAACAGTAGGACCAGAGCTGGAGTGGATCTACTTTCTGTGGGGCCTGAAGCTTATACAATTTTGGGGGCCCCCTTGAAGAAGAAGAAGAGAAAATTATAAACACACAATTAGGCACGGGGTCTTGGGAAGGGGCTTATGCAAGGGAGAAGCCCTGAAACTCGAACTCCTTTAGCTTCATGGTAAAAACGCCTCAGAAGAGAGAATGGAGAGAAGTGGATGGATTTGTGGATTTGGAGGTAGGGTCAGTAGGACTTGGATTGATATGGGGGATGCAATAAAGAGCAGATTCAATGTGACTCCCAAGGTTTTGGCTTGCACAATTGAGCAAATGTTAGTGCCCATCTGATGAGGAAAACTGAGGAAATCTGTGTTTGTGTGGAGGTATGAATCAAGAGTTCTGTTTTTGGAATGTTTGAAATGCCCAGTAGGCAGCTAAGTAGTTTTGGGGACTAGACTAGTTGCCTCACATACAGAGGCGGGTGCTTATGTCTTGGTGTGGGAGGCAGATGGGTAAATAGATAGTTTCATTAAAATGTGCTAAGTAAAGTGATAAACTTGAGCACAGGGTGCTGTGGAAACACAGCCCACAGACATGAATCCGAGCCCAAGTATGTGAGGGAGCCTGGCTTCTGAGCTGAGTTTAGAAGGGTGAGCAGCTAGTTAAGTAGCTGGAGGTGGAGCGAGGGGTGGGGGGTGGAGAGGTGTGCAGAGGTGGTGGTGGGGGTGGCTTGTTCCAGACAGAAAGAGAGGAATGGTGAAGGCTGAGTGGTGGAGCCACAGGGTGTGGCTGAGAGCTGAGGCAATTCATTGTGCTGTGGTGTCAAGTGTGAGTTGGAAAATGGGTAGACACTGAGTCTGGAGAGGCCAAATGTCAGAAGCCAGGGGCTGAACCAAATGTTTTCTTGATATCCCTTCCAGGTCTAAGCTCTATGACACTTTATCCTACTTCCAAATAAATTTAAGGTACCTAGAACTTCTGGGAAGTTTTTATGCAGCAATCTATCCTATTTTGGGTTAGTAAAATATTATTAATTTCCTCTTACAAAGAGGCCTTGAACTCAGGTGGTTAAAATGGCCAGGGAGAGAAGACAGCCATTGTTAATCTCAGCACAGCTGGACCGCTGTTGCAGATCAGGTGAGACTCCTATTTATGCATTTGTCTGTGAGGACATTTACTACATTCAGCAAAAGAATGAAGAATTATATATTTCAAATGAATGGCCAGATTTATGTCCAGAAGGCATCCTTTATGCATTGCACTCCGTATCTATAATAGAGTTAAAATCCGCTTCACTAAGACTCCAGAAATCCCTAATGTTTGTGTTGCCTTGAACTTTATATAAACAGATGTTTTGACCATCTGGGTTTAGGTTAGGAAAGACACGAGTATCCATCTATTAATAACTAAGTCAAGTTGTTCTCATTCTTTAATATTCAACAATATTATTATTCAAAGGAATTGTGTCGTAACTGTTGCTCATTTTGCATCTGCAGATGGAGTTCAATGAGAAAGAATTGCGAAGAGAAATAAGCTATGCAATCAAAAACATACACGGTATCAGGCAAGTGATTCACATTTTCCTTGTCTTCAGTTCAAACTACTAAAAGAAAATTAATGTTTATAAATGGCCAGTGAAGTAGCGTTTTCATCATCTGAGCAGAGTAGAATACAGAGGTGGGAGTAAGAAATAGGAAATCCTAGTCTGAGTTCAGTGGTAATTCTCTGTGTTGTCATACTTGATTTTTTTCTATTAAAAAAACAAAAACGCTTTCTGCACTCACAGCTTTGTGCTCTGTACAATTGGGGATTTACCGATCAGTAAGACCTTATTCTCCAGAGCCTGACATTTTATGGAGAGAGGACTGACGTGCTCATAAGCAATCATTACTTACACAGAGACAGGACAGATTAATTTTGATGGGAGTTGTTGAGCAAGATTGGGAAAGATTAATGAAGGTGGTTACTTGTGAGTCAAACCTTGCCTGTTTAGAGAACAAGAATGATTTCACAGGCAAAGGTGCTGTGTGCATACACATGCTTGTGTGTGCGTGTGTGTTGAGTATGGGGTAGGTGGTAATGCAGTGAGACGTGAGAGGATGGAGATTGCTGAGACTGGAGGATAAAAGAAAGAGCTTAAAGTGGCAGAAGTGGTGTGAGCAAAGGCACAGAGGTGGTACAGTACAGCTTGTGTTCCTGGAGCAGGGAGTCATTGATGGTGAGTGGAGTTGGGAAAGTGGACAGGTGAGCAGAGGAACGTGAGGCTGGGAGTGGAACCTGTGCCTGAATTTACCCTTGTATAAAGGGGGATTATACTCAGTTACTTTCTTTAAAGAACTATGATAAGAAAAAAATGAATTTAAAACACAGATGTCTTGAGTTCATTTACAGAAGGCTAAACAAAATTTAATGGAGAATATGTTAAATTGAAATGTCTTGAATTCAAGGTAATAAAACTTAGGTTGCTTACTTCATAGATTACCTCACATGAAGAAGGCATCCCCTCTCTATTGGCAACTGTATCTCAGCTTCTGCCACAGGGCCAAGTTGAGACTATTTGGGAACAGAGCCTGAGAGGGCAATGCTTGACACTGAGTGTGCATGTAATGGGTGATTTTCCAAAGGAATTATGGACATGTGAATTATCTCTCATGTTGGAATTTACACAACCTGCTCTACAAGTCTCAAATAGTGTGGGTAAATATGCGTTCACAAAGTGAAAAGGAGAAAACATCTATAACCAAATCCAATATTTTTCTCTTATCATCAACAGGATTTCTAAGTTCTTTATTAATTCTATTCCTTCTCCCTCAAATCCAGAACATATTTGGTATAGAAACTATGTCTTGTTCTTTAGCTGGACAGAACTGGTATGTGAACATGTCTATCTGATAAACACAGTAAAACCAAATCACATTTTTGGGGTCATAAAGTATTTTTACTTAGCCAAATACAGTACTTTTACTTGGCTTTTAAAACCCCTTACCAGATACATTTTTGTTGAATGTAACTGCAAAAGCTCAGTAATTCAGTATTGTAGATTTCTGATTTATATGCATACCAATAGAAGAGATCAGTTGTTATTCTGGAGTTAATTTGCCTGTAAGACGATAAGAAGTGCACAATGTCCTGAGTATAAAACATACTAATGGTGTGATGATTTAAGCCCTTAAATGCACTTAATTTGAAAAGTTTTGTTCCCAATTGATTCTGTTCAGTATTTGAATAATAGAAACCATCTTTGCCCCCTAAGGACCGGGTGGTCCTTCTTTGTTCTCCTAACACCGAGTGCCAGTGCCGAGCACGGCAGGGAGACACTCCTCGTGGGGGAAACAAAGATGACTGCAGTAGCAACTCTTCCTCCCAGTGTAGCAATGAGACCAAAATAGGTGCTCAGACCACTGCAACGCAAAAGAGGGTGTGGGGTTCAGAGAAGGAAGACCTGGTCAGCAGCAGCAGCACTGGAGCAGACGAGCTGTGGTAGTGGTTGCTTTTGATCTGGGCTTTGAATCACAGGTGGGATTTGGACAGGCTGAAGTTGGGCGGAGGGCGAAATGAACATCATGGACGCAAGCACAGACATAAAATAGTGGGATGAGTATGTTTGCGGAAAGGCAAATGGCCCAGTATGGCTGAGATGTCAGGTGCATGAAAGGGAGGAGGAAATAACTACGAAGGAAGATTAGGGTCAGACAGGGGAAAAGTTTTAATGTTAGGCTAAACAGTGTGGATTTTATTCTGTATCCAGTATGGAGAAACTACAATTACGATATAGTGTGATCCCTACAGTTACAAGTAGAGGTGAGCATAGGGTGCTAAGTAAATGATGAGAAGAGATGTAGGATAAAGCTGCTGTGAGGGAAGTGTTAAAGAAATCTCCCAAAAGAGGTACCATGGACTAGAGTGTTGAAGGAAGAGAAGTGAATTGAAGAAGGAGAAGTGAGAAGAGGAAGGAAGGACGGTCTAGGAAGAGGGAGAGTCAAGCGCCAGCACCTGGAGCCTGCAAATCTGCAGGCATGGCCGATGCTCAGGATTCAGGGTCCTCCTTATTGTTGCTTTTCTCTATTGATCTTTTGTTTAAATATGAGTAATCATTTTTCACTTTTTATGAAACACACCTACACACCTGCTTTCCTGAGCTTCTGCACAGCATGAAGAAAGCATTGTTATGAGACCAATCTGAATTAATTCCAGCCAAATGAAAAGATACTTGCTATTTGGGTTATTGTTTGTTATTTTGTAAATTCACAATTTAGCCCTCCAGGGTCCCAAGCTAGTTCCACTTAGCTGCCTTCTTTGTCTTTCAGCACCCCAGGATGCTCAGACTGGGAAGCACTTGGCTCACTATCATACAGCTCTCCTGGATAGAATAGATTGTGTAGTCCAGGAATGCTGCTATTTCAGTGTTCAAAAAGTGGAGATCATTTCCTACTCCTCCACGGACAAGAAGATTGCTTTTGGAATAGTTTAGAAATGGAAATTGAAATTTAGGACACCATTTCTATTGTAGCATTCCTTTTTACTGCTGTGAAACAGTGAGATGAGAGAAATTCCACTTGAATATTAGGTAAAGCCACATTATAGGCCATTAAACATTTTGGGAACTGTTTTTAGGTAATGTTAAGCATCTATAGAATGGAAGTCATTATGGAATACTCTTATTAAAGATATTATTACAAATGATTCTGTGGATACCATAAATTATTGTGTAACTTTTAAATGTGGGTATTACAAGCTTACTATAAGCGACATGTCAATGAAAACATTTTTCCAAAGAGCATTGGATCCTGCTCAACTTAAAAAAAGTCTAACATGCTGCTTTCTTTCTTACATTCAGGACAGGGTTGTTTACTCCAGACATGGCCTTTGAAGCAATAGTCAAAAAACAAATCGTAAAGCTGAAAGGGCCTTCCTTGAAGAGTGTAGATCTGGTAATACAAGAATTAATCAACACCGTCAAGAAGTGTACCAAAAAAGTAAGTTTGAATTGTTTAACTTTCCAGTGAGTAACTGTTCGGTTTACCCATCTTTCCTGCCCTGCTACATGCTCTCCTTCCCTGTGAATGAGACTGTGGGAATCGCTCTCATGACAGTTGGGCATATTGTCTTTATCACCCCATTCCAAATAGGATTGCTTAAACCAGAAAGAGTTTATTTTAGTCAGCTAATTTTTTTCTTGTTGTCTTAAAACAGGTAAACATCACTTTAGAACGATTAGGTGATCACCCTAACCTAATTTTTCCTGTGGCGCATGGATGGGGGTAGTTGTTCGGGGAAAGGAATCATTGATATTGTGTATATCAATAAGGAAATTATTCTAGATTTTAAATGAATCCTACTTGAACCTGGACATTCTGGGAAAGGAGAATGTGGTGTAGCAGTTAAGAGCCCAACCCCTGAGGTCCAGTTGCCAAGATTTGAATCCTTGAGGTGTTGTCCTTGCCTACACCTCAAAGTGCAGTCAGTCTTGTCACCTGTGTAGTTAAAGCTCTCTTAAATGACTTACAGAATTAACCCACAGGGATGGCCACCCTCAGCATACACATGTCTTCAGCCAAAGGCTTCTCTCTAGGTTGCCCATGCACTTCTGCTTCCACCAGTTAAGTTGTCTTCTTTCCAAGGGCCAATTGTGTTATGTTTGTCCTCAAACCTGTTTAGCCAATTGTACTTCTTCTTTTAATTATGTAGTTTAAATGAAGAGTAAGTACACTGATCACATGCAGAAAAGACTGAGTTTTGGTTCTGTAAACTCAGCTTTAGAAAGACTTGATAAAGGTTAGCTACGAAAGCTTTGCTATTGACTAGGTGTAGGCTGGACAACGCTAAAAGAATGTGGGGGGTGTTATAAAAGCCTAGATGGGCTCTGCATTCAGATTATTCACAAGTGTCTTGAGGTTCTCCCTCTACTTTAAAGAGAGCAAAACTTGGAATTGTAGATGAAGGATGTGGTTTATGTAAGACAGAAGACGCATAACTCCAATCAGCAAATCCATATGCAGAGAACAGGCCTTGGCCTTACATCAAAAGGTTGGCACATGTGTGTATATTTATGTTTTAAGTTATATAAAGTGTTTATGGTATGTATGAATTATTTTTTTAAAATCACTTCCCATTGTATCCAACTTACTGGAAAACCAACAGTTGGTCCTCATGGCATGGGATGAGACAGCTTGTTCCTGGACACTTTTTGGCCTCTATTCTTTGCTCGCCACCCTTTGAACCTCCCTTTTCATTGTGCTCTCTGGATCAATGATGGTTGTATATTTGTACTGTCTTCTCAAAACATTTTATATTTTGCCTTATGTAAAACCTAACTTTCTCCCCGAGATTATTGTTTATCCTGTAGCTTTCTTCACTGAAGGTTATTTATTGGCCTAAACCTGAAGAATCTAATGGCGTGGATCAGGCACGGCAGTTGCCTACTTCTTCTTTTGTGGGTTCCAAACTATTCCATTATTCCTTCAGTTTCCTATAAAAAGTCTTCCCTTAAGGCCCAGGTGTTACCAACTCTGCTACCTTTTTCCCTTCTATTCACTGTCACCATCAACTCCTGGTCACTCTCTTGCATTCATCAAGATATTTAGAACCTGGCTTACATTTTCCATCTCCATCCTAAATTCACCTTCAACTTGGGTGACTGCAGTAGAGATCCATGTAGAGATCATGTCCAACACCCAACAGCTACTGTGTTCTGCAATCTTTGACTTCAGCGGCTCTCCATTCATTCTGCCCTCCGGCGCATGCTGGAAGGGAGAAGCCATCCACGGGGAGGTATCACATTGGAGGAACTCTGCTACAAAATTGTTCAAAGCAGGGGGCAGGGGTGCTAGGGGCTGTGGCTGCCTTGCGCTGTAGGAGCCTGCTTGAGCCTGCCTTTTCCTCGCACAGTCTGTCTCCAGGTCCACGCCTCTCCTGACAAAGCTTCGTATTGTGCCAGCCAGCAAAGGAATATTATTTAAGGGGCCCAGAATTGTTTTCACAAAGTGGGCATGATGGTTGAATTTGGAACTGAGAGGCAATAGATTGACAACAAGCACATCCAGCTTTAACTTTTCACTTCAATTCTGCCCGGATTAACTTTGCCATCTGTTGAAACTCCAAGGCTGGTCAAATGTTCCATTTGTCTTTATTCCCCTTTTTCCAGGTTTCTGAAGAGCTTGGAGATAATTGTCTGTCTGTGTTCGTTAGTATACAACATATCCATAGTCTTCAGCATAGGATTTGTTAGTGACTTTTGGTGTTCTCCACAATAGTGATGTTAAACCTTCAATGCTCTCTTTAAGCCCTTTCGCTCATCACTTTCATCCTTATTTTCAGTAACGATTTCACAGAGAAAATAGGGGCCAGAAATGGGAATCTTAATTTCCTGTCTTCTAACCCCTAAATTTATGGGAGTACATCCAGCCGTGCCCAACTTCTCTCTGTCTCTGTTCAGGTAGTATCTCTGCCAAGGGTTGGGCTTCCACCTGTGTTTTCTCTTGGGAAAAAAGTAGTTTATGCTTGCTGTCTTTACTTTCTCAACTCCAGTGAATTCCTTACCCCTTTGTGGTTTGGTTTCCACCCCACCACTCTACTGAAATAATTATGGCAAAGGTCAACCAGAGACCTGATTGCCAAATCTAATGGCATTCTTATTCCTGACACTGTATTCCACTCCTTTTGAAGCTGATGCCCCTCTCTCATGGGTCCTCTTCCATCTCTCTTATGATTCCTTCTCCATCTCCTTCAAGAGTTCCTCCACCTTTGCCTCTAAACATGGGAGTCTGGCAAGCTTCCTCCTTGTTTTCTCTTCTCATTATCCTTTTCCCTGGCAGATCATACCTCCCACAGTTCAACCACCACTTAAAATATCATTGATTCCCCAGTCTAGACCTGCAGCTCAGGCCTCCTCACTGAGATGTCTGTTCTACAGTCTACTGCAACCACTCTCTCTCCTAACTTATGGCCCTGGACAGTTTTTTTAAACTGAATGACTCTAATGGCCTCCTAACTGATCTTTCTACCTCCAGTCTGGCCACCCTCAAATTCGTCCTCCCCACTGCTGGCACGGTGGCCCTTCTAAAATACAGACATCAATTTTGCCTGTTCCCTCAAAATTATTCAATGGCTCTTCATATCTTGAGAAGAAAGTTCAAATCATTTACGGGTATGTTTGGTTTACCATCTGCTCTCTGAATGCTTCTCCAGCTACATCTGTTGTCACTTTCTGCTTGCTTCAGCCATTCTAAGTGGTTTTCACTCTCCTCAAAGATTTTTCATGCCTTTAGCATTTGCACATGTGATTCTCTTTGTTTAGAATGTCTCCTTTTCCATCCTGTCTTCACCTGCCATTTCCTCTCTTATTTTAAGATCCAGCTCAATCATCTTTCCCCCCCAGAAAAATCTTCCTGCCAGGCCTCTGTGAGTCCTCCCTCACCTCCATTCTCACTGCCTTCTCAGTGCTTCAGTCAGCACCCTACGTTTATGTCTGTCATAGGATTTATGATACTGCAGTGTGATTTGTTTGTCATTTGCTTATTTAGGTGAATGCTGCCTCTTGCTGATTATAAGCTCTTTTTAAAAAAGAGCTATGTCTTTTATCTTATTCCTGGTACCTAACACAATGACTAAACCTACATAAGAGGCATTCCATAAAAACTTATTAACAATTTAGATTTTCTTAAGTTATCCTAAATGCTAAAGAAACCTGTACTTGGTTTTAAAAGAATATTGTAGTCATTTCTTTTCAAATGATGAAATTTGGACAAATTTCTTTCAAATATCTATCCTTTTTTTTTATTCCTCATTTTGATATTCTTGATTTTTGGCCTTAGTATGTCTACCTTCAAGTTCTTTTACTTTAAAACTGGTCTAATTAAAATCTTTTGCAAAGTAAAATAATCTTAACTAAAGTTGAGTATGCCAAGACTCATTATTTGACCCTTTTTGAACATGAGCCTTGGGTGAGGTGACCATATAATTTATCGTCCAATGCAGGACATTTTTGAGATTGAAATGGGGAGCTATTAATACTTTCACTGGAATAATAGGAGTGAAGACAATATATATATGTAACTTTAAACAGTATTTTTATTTACAATTCCTCATGTTGAATGTCTTATGTGTAAAATATTTAATCTTTTTTTCTTAAGCCACGTAAATAAACATGAGTGAAAACATGGGATTTATGTGTTCAAATAACAAAGCACAGAGCTCGACTTCTATCCTGGGGGAATGCATTTCTTCTCTCGCTGTTGTCTCTGGGGCGCTGGTGGACAAGACAGGAACACAGAGCTTTATGAGCTATTTGGCTTCTCTCCAGGGACATCTCAACTTTGGAATTTTCTGGTGGGCATCAGCTTTCAGTGCTTTTCTTTACCTCCTCTTCTCCAGTGCATCATTGCAGGGTCCTGAGGTTCTTTTCAGGAAGCACTGAGAGAAACACCTTGTTTTTTTAACCACAGTTTAGCAACTGTGCCATTTATTGGCCTCTTGGGAAACCACATTCTTGGATGGCCATCATACCAATTAATTGATTTTTTTTTTTTCCCCTTGCTTAGAAAAAAGAAAAGTGCTTTGCAAGAAAATAAAAAAGTACCTTAGTTGGCTGTTAGAAGTATAGGGAAAGATTTTTCATTAAAAAGTGCTGTTGGGAGAAATGCTGAATTTTGTGGCGTGTTGGGTAAGTAAACATCTGGCCCTGAATACACATAACTAAACAGTGACTCGGAGGTCCTTAACCGTGGGTTTTGAGGGCCCTCCATGATCTTCCCCGTTTCATCTCTAAACTCCTCCCACTCCCCACTCCCTTCAGTCCCCTCCGGCCACACTGGTTTCCTTGTTTCTTCGACAGGTCAAGGAGGCATAATGGCAGTGCCTGGGCACTTCTCAGTGTGGGAAGGGCTCCGCCTCGAGACGTCTGCGTGGGTCATACTCTCGCTTCCTTTAGGTCTCTGCTCAAATGCCACCTAATCAGAGTCTTGCTCTGACTTTTCTG